AAATCAACCAGAGTGACATCAATTAGATGAGAGAAAGTCAACAACAAGGACAAAACACAAATGGACTTGTTAGTAAAGCGGCAAAATCTAGGACAATTTTAACAAGCAAAGGATACTAGCAAGTTCCCTTATGATGTCCGCCTACCCTAACCCCAACTTTAAATGGAACGCCTTACTACTGGCCGCAATCACCGCTATGCGTCTTGAATGCTGCAAAGCTCGGCTTAAAAATTAAAAAAAAATGTAATGTATTTTAAGGAGCACCTGTATATCGGATTTGAACTGTCGGCATAATAATAAAGTAGTTTTCGTTGCCGCTAAACAACAAGAAGAAGCAATACTTTTAAGTTAAAACGCCGTAATCTAGTCAAAATTATATAATTTCAAAATGTCACGATGGTAGAAATTTAAGTTGAGAAGAAAAATAGATTTGGAACATATCGACAATTTCTATTAAACGTTTGACAGTCGTTATTGTGACGTCACAAACATATTAATATAGACACCAGTTAGTCTTGCCGTGTCCACGCCATGATAATCTTGATTGAGTTATTTCCTGCTTACGAAATGAAGTATCAAATAGGTAATGAAAACATAATCTTTCAATCAGTTTAATTGAGGTCTGGATCTGGCATGTCAGTAACTGCTAGTAGTTATTTGTTAATTTATGTATCATTGTCATTTTACTTAGTTTCTTTTATTACCTATTTTGACATCGGACTCGGACTTCTTTTAAATAGAGATTTACTGTGCGTATTGCTGCGTGTTTTTTTCTGAATTGGCTAAAGGTATAGGGGAGGGTTGAGATCTCACTAAACATGTTTGACCCCGCCGCATTTTTGCGCCTGTCCCAAGTCAGGAGCCTCTGGCCTTTGTAAGTCTTGTATGTTTTCATTTTAATTTTAGTTCATTTATATGTTATGGAGTTTAGTATGACGTCCATTTTTGTTAAGGTGCCAGTTGAAGCCCGCCTCCTTGTGCGGGATTTTCCCAAGACCCATTGGTGGCCTTCGGCTGTTTTCTGCTCTTTGGTCGGGTTGTTGTCTCTTTGACACATTCCCCATTTCCATTCTCAATTTTATTAAAAAGATATTCTTTATGTTCTGTCTAGCAACAAAGAAAACAGATAGAAACGCAATCAAAATTCAAAACACACACACACACACACACACCTTTCAAGAAAGGAAGGTGAAGACGAATTGGACCGAAATAATCTTGAAGAGTTTTGTTAGTCTTTATTGATCACATAATGTTTTACATGATCCTTAAAAAAAGCAAATGACTATAAGTTTGAGCTTGACTTTATCCCTCTTTGTAGTATATCTACCTTTAAAGTTGAAACCTTTGATGTTTCATAAAAGGTAGATGAATTTAAACATTAAGGTGTTACTTGTTTTTGACTTGAGCTGAAAAACAAATTTGAAACATATCTGAAACAAACAAATGTAAAAAGAAAAATCATATAAAACAAAGAAATAATCAAAACGTTTTGTGATTGTGTCCACTCAAAAATTCTTACTGTACGTGACATTTCCTGATAAATATACGAATTGTCAAAATATGATGATTTTATTGATGCACTGTCAGTCAGCAAAAACAAAGCCATAAAATCGTGACAATCTGCTAAGGAATAACGTCACATTCCAATTGAATTTATGAAAGTTTAACACGCAATTTATTGTTAAGATGACGTTCTTTTAAATAGTTTATTTGAAATTCAGTATTATCTTTCTGATCAGTAAAGTATTTGACTTGTTCTTAAAGTGAAACGTGTTACAAATATTCATACTTTCAATTGACAATGCCCAAGACGGGTCGTATTTGCAAAAGAGAGAAATATACTTAAGAAGTGAATGAAAGGGCACTAATATATCTGCAGCTAAGAGATTGTAACATTACAAAAAGGTAAGACTTAAATGGCACGAAAGGGTAGACTTACATGGTTCAAGTCGAAGTAATGTTTTGCCTTCCGTATGTTTATTGTTTTTTCATCGTCTTCACTTGCTATGCGACTTCAGAATATTCTAAGCACCCGTTCAGTACAAGAAATTAGTCTACTATAATTCATTTCAGCAATTCAGTGTGTTGTTGACTGAAAAGTAATGATTCTTCAATGCATTGTATGGAAATCGTATGTGAAAAATTGCATATAACTTTTTACCGAAATCTTATCGTAAATAAGCCCAAAGGGTATGGTGAAAAAATGCAGTTATTTCCGCAAGTAACATCTTTATAAACAAATCATCATTATAGATCTATAATAACATATAAACACATAAATTAACAGTTTTTTAATCTACTCGTAGTTTTTTATTTCGGACTGCGTTCCAAATCCCGTGTACAATCGAAATTAGCTGATCGGAAGGTTTCGAATAGTATTTTAAACAGAATTAACTTTTTATTGAAAATGATATTTAAGTTGGTCATTTCGAGTCATCTTTTCATAAACTCTCCTGTTTTTGTACAGTTGGAAATTTTTCTTGTTGAATCTAAACCAGCATTATAATCAATTCTTTATTCTATATAACGATTGATTGATTGATAGTCGGTAATTTAACGTCCAGTGGCAAATATTTCATGCATGTTCAGGACGAGAACAAATTAACAATAAATACAATAGGTAGGTCCTTTAAATGAGGCCGTCCGGCATGGTCGGGTATAATTGGATTACCACTGGAAAATGAGAGTAAATTAGATTGGAACAGAAATTTTGCCTTGCGACAGGCCACATACAGACCCCTCATAGAGTTGTTGCAAGGGTTCTTAACGTACATGCCGGACGTGGCCTCATACTTGTACATCCCGCACAGCCAAACAGACGCCCCACTTTGGCAAGGGTTTTACTGACGGTTGGAGGAAGACCTGTTGTGACCATATTTCTATTCACCAGTCACCCTTGGGATTCTCTATAACGAAGGGGCATCTTTAGTGGTAAAACGTTGAAAATATGTCTAACATGGTTACTTGGCTGATCCCGAATAATTAGATGTCTTTTTGATGTCATGATATTCTTTTTATAGCAGATTTTCGGTAAAAAGAAATCCGATATTCCATTCTTAGCACACCAGCATCTTTAAAACTTTGAAAAATAATTTAAAAAACAGTTTCGTTTCTGTAATTGATTCATTTTAGTTAATTCACACGATTAAGGGCTGATTTAGAGTTTGACATATTGTATTGTCACAGTCATGTCAATTGTGGAAAACTGTATGTTACCTTCTAAAAGTATTTTGGAGTTTTTATCGTTCCATTGCCGTTTAATTGCAGTATTATCCTACAGCACAGTTAAGTTTCACGAATGTTGTAATTTAATTTTCTCTAGTATGTAAGGTAACCAAGTGTATTACACTTTTTATCATCTGTTTATTTTATTATGAACAAAAGAAAGGAAGGAGATATTTGGAATATCGGTTTTAAACACCTTTTTTTAACAGGAAGTTTTTCTCTTTCTGAACCACTTGTTTAACATTAACCTTAAGATATTGATAACATCTTTTAAAAAAGGACGTGTTTTTTTCTCTCTCTTTGTTGTAGTTGTCTGAGAACAGTTCTTTTAAATCACTAAAGATCCAAAAAAGAATCCCGATCAAAAGATAGCTAAAGCCTATTCTTTTCAATACAATTATAATGCAAAATATAGATTCGGTCATGTACATCTTCAAATGACATGTCAAATTTTACGAAACTGCATCAAATCGTCCTATATAAGTTAAGCAAAAGCTCATTAAAGATGCAATGCTTATAATGTAGTACGATATTTTGGAGTTTCGCTTACATAAAACTTATTAGTGGCACTTGAATTAAATAATTGGGAGTTTAAATCAAAAACATGTATACGAAGTTGCCTCAAGGGCATTGTTGGGTTGATGGGATGGATTGTTTTTATCGTCCAGTATTAAGCATTACATGCATACCAGGACTGTTATCTGTTTGTTCTAGACCGATACACTAAGTCAAAATTTTAACATGCTACTTTACAAGGTTAAAGTCCAAAGGAAGACACGTTACTCTTTACCAGACACATACTTCTTACAAAGAGCCGACCAGTCATAGTTCTTACTCTTAAACGCCGCTTGCGTAGTAGAGAAGCAGAACATACCAATTTTTAAGTCGATCCCGTGCATTTTCCGTGTTGCCAAAAACAGAAACATCGCTATCATTCCTTGAGTTATGTGACAAATTCTTCGCTGAATAAACATTTTGCTTGTATATGCACTCATTCATCCCGTCGACACCCCCCTTAAACTACGGAAGCCAGTTAGTATCAGTTTGCTTAATTTTAAGTCGTTATCACTACTTAGTAATTTGTTAAAAAGACTTAGCTAACTCGTTAAAAAGACTAAGCTAACCCATTATCACGTCTAAGCTAAATCGTTATCACACATAAGTAACTCGTTATCACGACTCAGTTTACTCGTTATCACGATTAAGTTTACTCAAGATTAAATGAAGTCGTGCTAACGGGTTAGCGTAGTTGTGATAATGAGCTACCTGTTGAATGTATATAACTTTAAGTGATTTGTGTTTGTCTAATCTGAAACAGTGATATTTTTAACTAGATATATTTTAGATTTAGATTTTTGTGTTGTCTTTATTCCTGGCCAGAGCGTTCTTGTAACAGTTGAGTGTAAAAACGGAGCTAAAAGATCAGATGATTGGTTGTATTTAGTATTAACTTTAAGTATTGCTTTTTGATTAGCATGCAGACATGTTTGCATTGTGGTTTTATGATATTAAAATTATTTTTCTACTATTTCTTATTGTAAAGAAAGAAGATATGGATTAAATGCTGTCGCTAAAATGGACAATGACAATTTTACTATTTTATAAAATGGGTTAAAACTTTGGCGCTAAAACGTCAGCTATTTCTCGCTTCTATCAATTCGCTAAAATGTCCTACGCCGTAACTTTTAGTATTTGTTGCGACCAATAATGACAAGAGCACTGTGTTCTATTTTTTTTTACACTTAAATCTTTTTTTCTTTCTTTACTTTAGATGGCTTCACCTCTGTCAGATGAAGAGACAAACTACCTAAGAATGGAATACTTACTCAAAAGTATAAGTCCGGAGGCTGTGCGTTATCATTTTGATGGATTGTTTCCCCCAGCTAATCTACTTGTTGTTTTGCATAACAAAAAGGCAGCTTTGAAAAATCTGAAACGTCAAAGAATTTTAAATGCATCACAATGGGCTGTTTTATTTCCAACAGGTATGATATGATCTGATATTGAACTTACCAATGCTTATTGTAGATAATCGATATGAGAGATGCAGTTTGCTTTAAATCATGATGTCCATTTAAAAAAAAAAACGTTTCCGTGTTACATTTATCTAAATTATTATAATCTTGTGTTAGAAAATCATAAGCGTCTTATGTTATACAGTTGCAACTTTATTCTAGTGTATACGATTATTATCAATATGACTCCTTAAACTGTTAAAATGACAAATAAATTACTACTGACATCCGAGCTATAAATAATTAGATGCGCAGAGCTAACTAACAATGCATATTTTAAAGTACAGTCCTTAGATCTCCGCTCTATATAAACATCATTGTGTTTGTCTGCTGAGATCTATGTTGAAAAGGTAAAAAAACAAGCTCAGGTTAAGTGTAGCAATTTGTTTTTAAGAATTGCAATTTTGTAATTTTTCAAGATCATTTGATCGTAATGTATTTAACCACTACATGTAATAATTGTTCCACTAAGACTACTTTTGCCGTCACGTGTTGGCTAGTCATAACAATATGATTGTCTCTTATTTGATAGAGAAAAAATGTTCATAGATATAAAGGTAACCAATTTCCAATCCGATTAGCAAATTAAGGAACGATGGGTATGAAAAGTTTAGTAGAATCTAATATCTTTGTTTTATGTAAGCCAATGTGATCCATCTAGTCAATTCATTCATCCATCGCCCGTTTATATCTTATATCATTATCATATCCGAATAACCGCCGACCGATTTGGTTGTCGGTACTAGATATAAAAAAATTGGGTAAACATATATTTTTACATAGAATCGGTGTCTTGTAAATTTGACTTAATTAGCCTTCTTGTTTTCAGCACAAGGACACAAAATATCGATTTTGAAAATACTCTGTTTTGTTGTTCAAAAGAAATGGGACTTTAACAGTCAGCTTTTTGAGTACTATTTCTTATTTCTTATGTTCCTTAACATGTGTATGATTAGGTCGAGTTTATAAGAATTGGTGAGAGTATGGTACCTTTTGAAGTTGAATTTTTCGATTTGTCATTCCAGAGTTATGGGAATTAAACATGTCGTGCACTAACTTTAGTGTGTTTTGATCAATTTACTCAAACTTTACATTAGTGTTGGAATTGGTGAATATGGGCTTCCTTTTTGGTTTGGACAATTTTCTGGTTTAAAGTTCAAGAGTGGCACTTCAAGCAGTCATAATTAAGGCAATATTAATATACACAAGTATATCCTCATGCACGTTTTTTCTACAGATTTAATTTACTAACTTCTAATTGATGCATTCTTATTCTTACATGTAATACATTTTATATTCGCAACAATTTCAATATGCACCAGACGGGCGTATCATAATCATATTATGCGCTCTTGGCACTGCACGAGAGTGGCACAGGTTTGAATTATTGCATATATTGTAATATACTATTTCATAAATTTTGCAGCTTTCAACATAAAATGAAACCTCCACAAAAGTACGTGTCAGTTGCGGAAAATATAAAGATTAGTAATCTTTTGTACGTGTTAAGGGGCTTTGTCTTTCTTCCCGGGACAAAACACTGTTTTCAACATAAAAAAATCAATTTGAAAACAAATTAAAAAACATTAAAAACTAATTGTTCAGAGAACAATTGAAGGTCTTTCCACAAAAAAACATGTATTTTAATATGAAAATAGTAAAATTCGTTTTAAAATGTCATTTCCAGCTTCAAATGATAGCTTATTGTACGCTGATTCCAAAAATATATGGTTTCTATACAATATTTTTTAAATAAGGGAGATAATTTGTTACTTCCGGTTTGAAAAATGTTACTTCCGGTATTATTCAAACGTTTAATATTGACGCTGATACCAAAAATATCTGGTTCTATAAACTTTTACATTAATCAAGTACAAAAAAAGCTACTTCCGGTTTACACAAGGTCACTTCCGGTTGGCTTTTCCAAGGTTAAATGGCTTGAAACCTAATGCAAAAAGTCCCATGGATTTATCATGTATACATATGAGGTAAAAGCAAAGGTCAAAATCTAGAACGTCAATTTACCCTATGACCTTGAGCTCAATTTCAAGGTCATCAACCAAGGACCTAATATCAAAAGACTCTAGGACTTAATTATATTTGGTTCATGAGTTATATCACCATATGCATATTTTTAAATAAAAGAGGGGAGAAAACTCTAATTTGATGTAAGCGTACCCTTTAAACCGATATATGTATGTGTTACGACATGTCACAACTAACAATTAAGTAAAAATATGTTGTTGATATCTTATATCGTGTTTGAAAAGAGGTGAAAATAATCCAAAATCCAAATTTAAAAATGACCTTGACCTTTGACCTTGACCCTATTTTCTTTTTTTTGGACCAAGGACCTCAAATCAAAAGACCCTAGGTTCCTATCACTTATGGTTTACCAATTACAATTACATTTTACTTATTTTAAATACAAAAGGGGAAATAACTCTCATATGGAGTTTCTGGACCGCGTCGGTCAAAATTATTCTTAAGATCCTGAGGATACAACGAACAAATTGGAGACATAAATTTGTCATAATCTTTTACGGTTGCGAAGGAGATGCGTACACAAAAAAACAGTGTTTTGGAAGATAACTCTTACAATAAAAAGTATTCAGCTAAACAGGGTCAGTTTCAAAATCGCAATAACTGTTCGATATCATACACAAAAAATCTAAGCGACATCTTGCGAAACAAAAAAGCACCGTCAGAAAAAAGTGGCGGAAGAAGAAAAAATAATAATAATAATTAAAAACCAATTGTTCAGAGAACAATTGAAGGTCTTTCCACAAAAAAACAAGTATTTTGATATGAAAATAGTAAACATTTGGTTTAAAATGTCATTAACAGCGTCAAATGATAGCTTATAGTACGCTGATTCCAAAAATATGTGGTTTCTATACAATATTTTTGGAATAAGGGAAATAATTTGTTACTTCCGGTTTGAAAAAGGTTACTTCTGGTATTATTTAACTGTTTAATTGACACTGATTCCAAAAATATATGATTCTATATACTTTTACATTCAAAAAGTTAAAAAAAATAGCTACTTCCGGTTTACACAGAGTCACTTCCGGTTCGTTTTTTTTAAGGTCATATGGCTTGCAACTAAATGCAAAAAGTCCCATGGCTTTATCATGTATACAAATGAGGTAAAAACAAAGGTCAAAATCTAGAACGTCAATTTAATCTATGACCTTGGGCTCAATTTCAAGGTCATCAACCAAGGACTTCAAATCAAAAGACCCTAGATCTTAATTATATTTGGTACATGAGTTATATCACCATATGCATATTTTTTAAATAAAGAGGGGAGAAAACTCTAATTTGATGTAAGCGCATCCTTTAAACCAATATGTATGTGTTACGACATGTCGCAACTAACAATTAAGTAAAAATATGTTGTCGATATCTTATATCGTGTTTGAAAAGAGGTGAAAATAAGCCAAAATCCAAATTTAGAAATGACCTTGACCTTTGACCTTGACATATTTTCTTTTTCTTGGACCAAGGATCTCAAATCAAAAGACGCTAGGTCTTTATCACTTATGGTTTACAAGCTACAACTACATTTTTCTTATAAAAAATACAAAAGGGGAAATAACTCCCATATGTAGTCTCCAGACTGCTTCGGTCAAATTATTTTTAAGATCCTGAAGATATAACGAACAAATTGGTGAAATAATTTTGTCGTAATCTTTAACGGTTGCGAAGGAGATTTGTACACAAGAAAAACAGTGTTTGGAGAGATAACTCTTACAATAAAAAGTGTTCGGCTTAACAGGGTCAGTTTCAAAATCGTAATAACTGTTCGATATCATATGCAAAAAATCTAAGCGACTTCTTGCGAAACAAAAAAAGCACCGTCAGGAAAAAGTGGCGGAAGAAGAAAAAAATAATAATAATAATTCAAAGAACAATTGAAGGTCTTTCCACATAAATTTTCTAAATAATTGATGAGAAGATAATTCTGGTTTACTCAAAGCTACTATTGGCGTCCAATCATAGGTTTCTTCATACTGATTCAATAAACATGGTTTCTAAAGACTTTTGCCTGAAATAAGGGAGATAATTGGCTACTTCCGGTTTAGAAAATGTCACTTCCGGTCTCATATGATAGAATTATTTACACTGATTCCAAAAATATATGGTTTATATATACTTTTGCCTGTAAAAAGGGAGATAATTGGCTACTTCCGGTTTAGAAAATGTCACTTTCGGTCTCATATGATAGCTTTATTAACACTGATTCCAAAAATATATGGTTTATGTATACTTTTGCCTGTAAAAAATGAGATAATATGCTACTTCCGGTTTATAAAATATCACTTCCGGTCTCAAATGATAGATAAATGTATGACATTCAAAAAATATATGGTTTTTATGTACTTCTTCATGAAATAAGTGCAAAAATGACTACTTCCGGTTCACACAAGGTCACTTCCGGTTGACATTTTTCAAGGTCATATGTCATCCAACATTTTGCAAAAGATCTTATGGCTTTATCATGTACCAATATGAAGTAATTATCAATTTACCTTAAAATAAAACATTTCAGGGGCAATAACTCCAATAAGATGTCGCTGGATTGTCTCAGACCAAATGTATCATATCTTCATCACAATATAACAAACATTTTGCACTTGTTCTTTAATATATAACATTAAAAATATCGGAGAAAATGCAAAAACAAGCAAAAGACAAAATTCAGAACATGACCTTGACCTTTGACCTTGACCTCATCTTCGAAGTTAGGATCCAAGGACCTTAAATAAAAAGACTATAGGTTTATACGGCTTACAGTTTATGAGTAACAAAAACATAACGACAAATTTATTTGATAAAGGTAGAAAACTCCTATAAAATTTCATCGAATCGCTTCAATCCAAATTAGCCAAAAATTCCTGAGGATGTAACGAACGATTTAGATAAAGAATTTTGTCGATATCTTTTTTTGTTACGAAGGAGATGCA